GTAGTCAAAAGACGTAGAAATAATCGAATCGCTGGACCACCAAGAACTGAGCGATCCATCATGCATGAGATCACTCACTCACTCACACAGTGAAACCCAACACAAGTTGTGACTACTTCAAGACGCTTGCTGATGCAATAGTATACAGCAACAACGCATAGAAAACAACATCATCTTTTCGTCTTTTGGTCTATGGAGAGATCTAAAAAGATCTTGGCATTCACTTAACAATTACTGTCCTCTCAAAGTGACTGACTCTTTGAACGAGTAAAACATAGTCAAGTCAAACACAACACCTACACACAACCGTAATTACGTAATTACAGTTCACAATGCCTCGCAATCGACAAAACCTTCCCACAAAGTTTAATAAAAAGGCCAGCGAAGATGGAGGAGAGAATGCCTCCCGAAAAGCGAGGAGCCTAACGAAAGGCGGTGGAAAAAAGTTAGGAACACGAAGTGGGGCTCAGTTTCACTCCAAGAAAGTTGCCATTGGTGAAGATGGTGTTGAGATTATGGAAACCTTCTTCAAGGCTCAAGATGAACAAATGATACAGACGGAAAACTCTTCCGTTTCGAGACCGGCAGCTGGTGAAGGAGGAAGAGCAGCCTTGAAAAGTGGAATCAACATGCAAAATCGCCACAAACCCAAGACTCCCAAAAAAGTGCGCATGTCCGTAGGAGGTGATGATGACGGTGATGAAACTAGCGTAGACTCGGAAGAGAAGAAAATGCCGGCACGAAAACAACCAGTGGAAAAGGACACCAATCTCGACAAGGATGTGGCGACAAAGTTGACTGAAGTATATGTTGCCAAACTCCAAACCACTGTGACAAGTCCTTCCGAACTGAGCAAGGTTTCGACGGCTCCTCCGACCCCTTTTGAAGAACAAGAGACGGCTCGATTTGCAAAGGATGACCAAGAAGGCGACGACGACGAACAGGTGGATACGGATGCTCCTCGTGCGGATGATGAGTTGTTAACACAACCTGGTACCCATGAAGACGACGATGATGATGAGGATGAGGATGTTGTTCTTGCTCAAGCGTCCGATGATGTTGGTGATAAAAAGCAACCCGCGTTGATGGAACGAGCAGAGAGTCCGGAACCAACCTTCCCTCCCATGGGCTTGGATGATCTTGGTCCTCCAGAACACTCCGATAATGATGAAAATTCCTTCGGTTTGGAGCCTCCAGATCATTCCGATGACGAAGCTGATGCACAAGACGGCGGCAAAGAACAACAACAACACGATGATGGCGATAAGGACCAACAATCCGAAGACAGCTCCGACAATGAATCATCCGAAAAGCCAGAGTCAAAGCAGCCAGAGCCTGCTCCAGCAGCTGCTGCCACTTCGGATTCCAGTAACGCAGATAGTGATGATTCGGACAAGGAAGGCACTGGCTTCAATATGGTACACGATCCTGAAACACCGTCCAGTGTTCGAAAGCAACGAGCAAAGGAAGAGAAAGCTGCATTAAAGCGAAAGAAAAAGAAGAAGCGACGAGGTAGTGATACTTCCGATTCAGATGATGGTGATGACACCAACGACGAATCGACGTTACAGACCCCCGCCAAAAAGCAAACCAAAAAGAAAAAGAAGAAGCGCCATGTTGCTTTCTCACCAAAGGGTATGCCAGTTGGCAATCGTACCTACAAAAGGAAGCCTCTCGATGACTTTGCAGTGGATCTTTCAGACGACGAATATGATGGGGTTCGGCGATCGAGACGGGCACGGTGCAAACCGCTTGATTTTTGGAGAAACGAACGATTGGAATATGGAGCCAACAACGCAACTGGGATCATGGGAGAAATTATGGGGGATATGCCAGTTGTGGTCAACGTCATTAAAGCGGAAGATACTCCGTACAAGAAGCGAAAGCCGGCCAAACAGCAGAAGAAGAGTAATGCCAAGAAGAAGAAAACAAAAGGTTCTGGTGGTGACGACGAGGAGGAAGTGAAGCCGTTTAACTTGAACAAACTAAAGAAGAAATACAAGGTGATTGAAGGGGATGTGGCCAATCTTTGGGACGAAATGATCGATGATCCTTCCGATATGAGTAAGTCTTTCATGTGGTAGTAGTATACCGGTATGCTTCTTTCGGTGGTTGAAGACGACAGATTCCTCACAATGAATCCTTTCTTGTTTCTTCATTCTTGATTGTTGATTGCTGATTGTAACCACTACAGAGGTGATTGCCTATGCCGATAATTTGGAGCCCAGCGATCTCCCATTGTCCAAGCAAAGGGACGAAAAGGATGGTTTTGGGGTCGGTCAAGCCGCCCAAGCGTTCAATATTCCAAACGACGACAATGACGCCTATGTTGGGTACATTATGGGAAATCTAAAATTGCCACCAAAGGCAATCAAGGATGCCGAATCTGTTGGGCCTTGTTCCCAAACATTTACGGTCTGTGGTTGCCAACCAAAAGCACTGGAAATTGCCTACGGGGATCCTGACTTGCCAGAGGGCATACTGGATCCCGACTCTGCTCAGAGGTTCTACCTGAGTCCAGGTGATATGTTTCGAGTACCACCCGGAAACTGCTACCGACTTCAAAATCGTTCCAAGACCACGGATGCCTTTTTGACGTGGACCATTATCCGGCCCCGAAATATCGCGAATGATGAAGACTCGGAATGATTGGTTTTAATTGATTGATTTTAATTGATTGATTGATTGATTGATCATTATCTATATATTACCAAATTTTAACAGTGTGTTGTAATGAAATAGCCACCCTCTCTACACAAGACCTGATTCATTCATTCGTTCTTTTAGGTACATATACCAGGTACCAAGGTGTTAGTGTTACATACTATTTACTCTCTTCGAAGACAATCGGAAACTTGTCATTTTTCGATTCGGGACTTAATCAGCTGTTTTTCACTCGTGCGAGGTTCTGACGTGTCCCTTCAACTGATGAAGGACGCTGTGCTTTTTGTATCGGACGTGTTGGCTGTCGACGTCAAAGGTTTCGATTAGTTATTTAGCTGATTGTGACAAGACAAAAATTGAAAGTGCGGGATTTCCGTGTAGAATTCCTACGAGTTTGGAATGAATTTCCATCGAAGCGGTAAGGGAACGTTAAAGCAGCTGCATCTTCACTTAGAAACCACCTCCCCGACAGCACGCCACTTCGATTTTCTGTTCTCTTTTGTGTTCTGGTTTGGAATCCAAGCGGAAATACCCTTCTTCGCTCCTGTTAAGAACAACGCAACAACCACCAAATTCCGTTGCTTTGCTGAACTTTCCAACTTTCTCTCGCTCAGCACCATAAAAATCAGCATTGACGGTACTATTGCTTTTCTTGTGGTGATCTTATCCTAGTGGAACAGCTTTCGTCCCTGCATTGGTGAATTTGAAAAGAGTCTGTTAGTACAAACACAAAATCACATCTCGAATGCAACTTTGCTACAGCCATTGCTATCCAAACTACTTCAAACGTCTTCTCTGATTCTCTCAGTTACGCAACAACTTAAAGCTCGGCTTCTATCTTTTGGGTTCAGCAGAAAGAGTTGTAAAAAGGGAGGAGGGATCGACAAAGGGTTGTTCGGTGGAGTATTAGGTTGTTTCATTGGTGCTGGAATTCAAGAGAAATCTTTCTGAAACGTGGCAGCACACAGACAAACTCACATACATACATATACATACATACAAACACACGAACACATTAACCATGTCGATCCCTACTCAATATGTGCAACGAAATAGGTCAACCGAGGCTAGCATGGAAGACTGTCGAGACTATCTGCGGACTGGAAGATGCAAGTATGGTGCTTCCTGCAAGTATAGGCATCCTCCTAATGTTCAGAGTGGAGGAGGTATGAAGGGTCCCATCAACCCTTCGGAGCCCATGTTTCCCTATAGACCGAACGAGCCAGTTTGTCAGTATTATATGAAACATGGGACTTGTAAATTTGGTCAAGCCTGCAAGTTCAATCATCCACCTCACAACAACAACAGTAACAACAACTTACACGGTGTTCCCAGCAGTCCAAGGTTCAATCAATCCATGGTGATGCAACAAAAGGATAGCAACGAAGGCAGTTTTAATAGCTATGATGCTGCTGCTATGCTTCCTCAGAGACCGGAAGAACCCAACTGTATCTACTTTCTGAAGAACGGAAGGTGCAAGTACGGTGCTACCTGCCGGTATCATCACCCCTTGAATTATCATAGCCGAAGGCCACCTCCTCCAAATGATGGACATCGCCATAATCATCATCATCATAACCTTCAGGGAGGAGGCAACTCTATGAATGATTCAGGAATGGCTCAACCAAAGCTTCAATACATCTCGCTTCCTCCGGGAACCTATCAACAGGGTCAATTCGTAGTTGCAGATGGACAGCTAGCCTTCTTGTCTTTGGATGGCTCTACTCAACAAGTCATTTCCGTTGGGCCACAAGGAGTCAATCAAGAAGCTCCCATGGTACTCACGAGTACCGCAAGTCCCAAGCCAGCTTCCTCACTGAGCCGTGATGTTGGCTCTACAGCATCTTCCACTTCCATTGCTTCTTCCTTTGAGAGCTCCATGATTGGAAGCGGTGGAAGTCTCAATACGTTCATCGCCCCTGACCAACAGAATGGCCGAGCCGCACACGTTGTGCACTCGGGCAGCAGTCGTCAAGTGCCGGCGCAGAACCAAGATGGAAGAGTCGCTAGTCTGCCTCAGGTAGTATCCACTGCCGGCAGTTTGGATGGCAGCATCAACAACAGTAACAACTCAAACAACCACTCTTACTTTGATGTCCGAAGACCAACCCAATCACCAGTGCGGTCCGAGTCGGGTGGGAACGCGGCCGCGTATAGGGAACAGCGATCTTCTTCCTTTGATCATTCCTCCCGGCCAGCTAGACAGCACATGGGTGGAGGAATACGCGAGAGTACCAGTGTTCCCAGCTTCAACCATGTGCACGACGAACAAGGCTATCAACAGCAGCAGCAACAACAGTACGACCCTCAGCAGCAGCGGGGCCTTCAAATGACTAGAGGGCCTCCACCAACCACGGCGCGTGGCCGACAAAGGCGGAAAAGCAACGGGGCAGTCGATGATGGATTGTCCATGATGACCTCTGCCCTCTTGACCATGTTGGATACTCCAGAAGAAGCAGGGGAGTGGGAACAATATCAAGACTTTGATGACTATGAACCATCCGAATCTTCCACTCCTGTGATTGCGAACCATTTTCCCGGGCAGCTTGGCTCTCCACAACACCCGCAAATAGTACAAAACAACAACAGCAGCAGCAACAATGGCGACTACAATAACTTTTTTGTGCCCCAAGCAAGGAAAGTAGCATACTATGATCACGACCAAGACAGATCCGTGAATAGTATGCCGGGGTATCAATACGAAGGAGTAGGGGGAGATGACGGCTATGGAATCCCCCGAGGCCGTAGTATGGATCAAATGCAACGATGGGCACCGTCGATGCAAGGTTCCGACCAACAACGTGCATCAAGCACGGCATTTGAACCAAGGAACAATGGGTCATATTTTCCTTAGAATCAAGCAAACAAGCAAGCAACGAAACAGGGCGGGGTCAAGCATTTACTCTCACACCATCGCATACCAAATTCACACAACACTCCATACTTACAATTGTATACCAAGCGCTACTACTCAAAAGAGCTGTCTTTTATATGTTAAAGCATACCTACACCACGCAAACTACACAACACACGCATACACAAACACAACACAAACAACGAATGAATGAATCCCCATGGGCTATCAATGGATGGCGAACGGCCGCATTTTTGAAAAATAGAGGAGGCGGCCTTTCTCACTCTGTGGATTGTAAAAGATGCCATATGAACGGGAGATTTAGGATATTAACTGTAATGTATACTAGGATCACAACCACCACTGGACTGACTTTTTGTATTCTATTATATTTACGAAATGAATAATTGACTTATCGAATGGTTCCGCCTAGTGCTTTGACAATTGCCTTGTGCGAATAGATGAATTTGGATCCATCACTCCAAGTAACTTCATATCCTACTTTGGCCTTTCGTTCCACTTTGTCAGGAGTGACAGGTTTTGGTACTGGGCTGTCATCCGATCCAGCCTTGTACACGCTGATCATTTCATCCTTCTTTGGACTACTAGCACCACCTGTAGCATCATCTTCTTCTGGTTCCACCAAGAAGCTACCAGTTTTGGGGTCTCGCTTTCGCAAATTGTCTGGATCAACTGCTTTCATGAGAGCCCCTCCTTCCGAAAAGGCACGAACCATGAGCTTGCCCTTGTCCAAAGACAGCTGAATACTCGTCAACTCAAACTTTTCTGGCCCATCTTCAAATGTGACCATTACTTCCGTGTCCCCAGCCTTGTATGGCATTCGGAACAACTCTCTCGCAACTACTTGGGAAAGCTTCCCAAAGGCTTCTAGTTCATTGATAGCTCCTTCTGGTCGTGAAATACTTAAGGGTACTCCATCGTCGTTGGCATCGTTGGCCATCTGTGATATCGGAAGTTGACAAACATCTTTTGGGTCTATTTCCATGTTCGAATTGTCCTCCGCCAAGAATTCGGTGAACCCTTTTCCAAATGGAAAGTGCTTGTGTCCATTGCACTAGGGAAAAATAAGCGTCAGAGAAAGAAGGCAGGATTATTGTCAAAATCACATTCCAGATCTCTTACATCAAAATAAGCCATATTCTCCACCATGGCCATGGTCTTAATTCCAAGGTTTGCAAACATTTCAATACCTTTTCGTGCGTCAGCCAGTGCTAGCTTCGATGGAGTTGTCACTCCAACAGCTCCACTCAAATCGAGGTCTTGGCAGACTGTCAACTGGACGTCTCCAGTGCCAGGTGGAAGATCAAGTACCAATACATCCAGATCTCCCCAGTCTGTTCCTTTGATACTGACATACATGTAGGATATTTAACATGTGAGAATGATACTACATTTCTGAAGTAAGGATTGCTGGACAACTTACAGTTGAGTGACTACCTTTCCGGCCATGGGACCTCGGAGTACCGAAGCACCCGTTTGGCCACTGCCTGGTACGCCGCTCTAGATATCGCAGAGGTCATATTAGAACAGTACTGCGATTTTGGAAAACAATGGCAGGCGCTCTTACCTCTTTGGAAACAAAGCCGAGAGACAACAGTTTGACACCTTCATGTTCGATTGGATATACCATGCCTGCTCCGAGAGGAGACTGGCGTACAGCTGCATCTCTTGGTTTGACGAGAACTGGAAGCGACGGTCCATATACGTCAAGATCCAATAGTCCGACTCGTCCACCCATTTGCGCAAGTTCGTATGCAAGGTTGACGGCAACGGTGGACTTTCCAACTCCTCCCTAATTTGAATGACAAAGAACTAAGTGAGTAATCCTTCCAGTATTTGGTGATGAGATTAAATTACGCACATACCTTGCAACTATACACTCCAATAATATGAGCAACATTGGCTAGCCCAGGTCCGAGCCGTGATTCAAGTTCCTTCTGGTCTTCTTCATCCTTCACCAGCCAAGATACAGGTTTCGATGCCACGGCTTCAATGTTGACACTAGGGCTTGACTCAATCCCAATCTCTTTTGCCCAAACCTGTACCTCCTCTTCAGCAATCTCCTTTATTCTGTCCTTCAGTTGGTTGAGGCTAGGATGCAGCATTGTAGGTAATCTCAGAAGCAGTTGGATCGTGTTATCCTTGGAAATGGCTATCCGGCGATTCATCCAACCAAGCGTCTTGAGGCTTAGTTTGGCTTCTGGATCCTCCACAGAAGTTCCAACTACTTTGTATATTCTATCCTCTAAATCTGCCATTTGTCTTGTTGAAGCCCCCGATATTTTGTGGAGTTGTCGGATAGTTGTAAGACGATGAGGTGATCGGTGATTCGGACCACGCAACTTCAGACTTGTTGTCAAAGCTGATTTTCCAAGGTAACTATGGTAGCTTCGAGAAGCATTATTTGTCAGAAATGGTGTACATCTGGATGGAATGCTGCAGTTCAGTCGCTGTATGGAAGCTCTGATTGGCATTGGAAGGACCCTCATGGCGAATAATGAGAAAGATGTGATGTGATTTTCATTTCGATTGCGTCAGATGATGGGATACGACTGGTTCGACCCAAATGATCACCGCTCGTCCATACGTCAGTTGACCAACAAAGATCAGATCGGAGGAGAACACTGCTTGTCATAATCAAACATCAATCAAGCCTTCAAGAAAACAAATAAAATGTACCTCAAACAACTTGCTCTATTGTGTCTCACTCTTGGCTCCACATGTGCCTTTGCACCCCAACCCCACTGTGCTTTCACCGCTCGGCCTGCGACTCCTCTATTTGCCTCCGAAGAAGTCGAGGAGCTTGAGATGGACACTGAAGATCGTATGGGAAAGTCTGTTGAGAGTGCGAAGCAAAATCTCGGGACCATTCGAACTGGCCGAGCTTCAGCACAAATCTTGGACCGAGTTAAGGTCGATTATTATGGCGCTGAGACCCCAGTAAATCAATTGGCCGGCATCTCTGTTCCGTCTGCACAACAGTTGACTGTTGATCCATATGACAAGAGTGTAATTGGCGACATTGAGCGCGCAATCATCGATGCTGATATCGGGCTTACGCCCATGAATGATGGAAACGTCATCCGACTCAACATCCCAGCCCTCACCGAGGACCGAAGAAAGGAAATGTTGAAGATGTGCAAGGCTATTGGTGAAGAAGGAAAGGTTGCCATTAGAAATATCCGTAGATCTTCTGTTGACGCCGTCAAGAAAATCGAAAAGAGTGGAGATATCTCAGAAGATGAAATGAAGGACGCACAAGAGTCTATTCAAAAGATGACAGACGCTAAAATCAAGGAGATCGATGAATTTGTTGCCAAAAAGGAGAAGGACGTCATGACTGTTTAATAAAACACTTCTTTACCTCTTACACAACGTATCATTATTATATAACCGCTTTTGCGATCGTAATTCAGTAATGTATTGAGTCCAGTCACCTTCGAACCGATCAACGCAACCTTGCGAAACGTCGCGATGAAACAGAGAGTTCGAATCGGACTAACAAAGTCTCTTCTCGCAGGAAAAATGACGGCAGTTTCAGGTTGGCCAATACCACCTTCAACAAACCAAATTCAAAATTAGATTGTACAATCATGTCTTTTCCATTCAGCCCAAGGCGGCGGAAAGACTTCTCCATCGACAGATTGAGAGTGCTATATACAGGTAGGTATAGGAGTGCTTTCGATGAGTGATGATTATGTTGCATATGCACTCTTACACCTTTTCAATTCAATGTTCTTCCATCCACCAATCAAGACCTGATACAACATATTGACTTCACCGATGAGGATCTTGGAAGAAGGGCCGTCAATGATGAGGACAGATCAGTTCATAAGAAGTCTCTGCGATTCTCCTTTCGCAAAAAGTTAATACCTGACAATTTGAACGACACATTCGAAATTGAAACACGTGACAATCCAAACATTGAGTATGCTTTCGGCAACGAAGTTGTCTCGCTGCTTGCTGCATTCCGCATGTTGGCAGCTACTAAATCACCTGATAAAGAAGGGGACCATTTAGGCTCGGCTGCGAGAGATGACTATATAGTGGCAGCCATGTCATCTGCCAAGAAAGTTGAAAATCGAGTGGTAGAAATCCTTGAAGAAATAGGCGAAATCGTTGTCCATTCTGAGAGGACGACAAGCGACATTCGAGGTGATTCCGTCTTTGAATACTTTTGCGAGAAAAATATTTTGTCACTGATTGTCGATATCACAAAAACGAAGGAAAAGAAGCCGGCCGATGCCAGGCTCTCTGACACATCTTGCTATGGTGTTGTTTGGACTCCTTTGGTGAAGGCACAATGTTTCCAGACAACGTCATTGCTCCTTTCAAATGTGCAGGCGAGCTCAGTGGTATATTATCTTCTGTCTCATAACTACATCAACGAGCAGATCATGTGCATGACTCCGTTCCAACAGTGGACTCATTCATCGCTAACCAAGATGATGCCTCAATACGTTGATCTTCTAAAGAATGTCACAATGCAACTGACTGATGATCCGCTACTGTTTCCCTTTCTGATCATTGATAATCCTGAGAATGGATCGACCAAGTTTCCTCTATTTTCTGTTGCACTGGAACTTGCAACCAGCGCATATGCTGAATCTGATTCGTCCGTTTACGACACATGCATAACGATTGTTGTCAATCTCATGAAAATAAAGTCCGAGAGTATTGAAAAGTGGTTCATGTCCGCAAGTTCTGAACAAAAGAAACTTGCCGATCACCTGAGCCAAAGGCTACTGAATCGGTAAGCAACTCACAGCCCGAAAGGACATTTACATTATTTTGGTGATACCGGTATGCTAACACTTGGTGCAGATACAACCGTGTCTGTGATATATGCACAGGACCAGTGGTCGATTTTGTTCGGTCAAGAGCCGTTAATGATGAACTTTCAAAGCTGTACGATGATATGGGGGTTATCCGAGATGTCTTTTGGAGTACGCGTGGTTTGGATGTTCGACTTTGCGAGTCACTTTTGCAGCGAGTTGTGTCTGTCTTACTAAAGAACATGTTACCACCGCGGCAAGATACACAGTTCTTGGACGTGGGGGTGGTCGATGCTGATGTTATTCCGCAGAGGGAAGCCCGCGCGCAAGTGTCAACGTTATTCCTGGCATTTCTCTTTTCGAATCTTGCGTACAGTCCGTTTCAGAGGATGTTGGCTGTTGCTGTCTTGCACCCCATCTCTACTCCTCTCTGGCTATCCTCGCGATCAGTGAAGCAGTTTAGCGAAGATGAATACATTTTCATGCCAGCCTTGAGTGACATTGTGACTGGCGAGGAGCTGAGAAAAGAGGTCTGTCCGAATGGATTCAGAGCCGAGGTACTTAATGCTTTGGAGGGCAAATACGGCGACTGGCGATTCATCTCCAGTGCTTGTCTCATTCAAACGATTTTCAATGAAGAGCTGATCGTCAATGATTCCCTTACGCTGATGAACCTTCTACCTCATTTTGGTGAAAACGGGTATACGGAATCACCACTCGAGAATGCTCTAGCGGCATTTCTCAAGAAAGAACACAAACCATCTCGAATAGTCTCACAGGCTCTTGAATGTGCTGGACAATTGGCGATCCAGATAGTGAATTTTTCGGTAAAGCATTGCACTACGATATCGGAACCATGGGAGAAACTAGATTACGTTCTTGAGCACTCAAAAAGTTGGTCAGCGCTGGGGGAAGCATACCATGGCTTTTGTGCTGACGCGGCAGAGCTGAAGGAAGCAACAGGAGTGTCAGATATATTCTTGGATCTACTGGAAACAACGATACGAAATCGATACAAAGCAAAGACGCAGCCATCTGGAACAACAGTATATTTCTGCTCGCTGTCACAGCAAGCGTTCAATCGCAAACTTTCCGAATCTGAATTACTCGTTCGAAAGAATCGAGATTGTGGTATGAGCGATGTTGAGTCCGCTCGCTTCTTCATCAATATGGCTCTTCATTACAGAGCGCTGCACAAAATTATTGACCACAAGTTGCGACTGTCACTGAACGTCGATCAAGAGCCTGGGCCGCTGGATTTTGTGGATGAAGCCGATTTTCTGACCCGAACGATTGGAAGGCTCGATGACAAGCCTGCCGTGGGAACAGAGATGGACCTAACGGGTAGAATGACTTTTCGGTTTCACCTTCCTACTGGACCGATGAAGTCTCCAGAGAAGGATAGTCCAAAGGTCAAGGCCAAGGCTTCCGCTCTCATCCTGGTGCTTGATCACACTGATATGTTTGTCGTGAGACCAAATCTGACAAGATTGGAAGAAAATCTCAGTTCAGTTTTGCACAGCATATCGTTGCGAAGCGTCATAGCCGCCGCCGCTGATGGAAACTGGCTTCATGTTGCTGTTCGTCATTCTGATATCAACATGCTGATCAAGAATGGCAACATGGCGGTCCAATTTGAAAATACAGGAGCGTCCCTGATTGTCAAACAATACCTCGACCGGTCGCGGGAGGTGCTACGGCAAGAAATGTTAACCAAGGTGAAAGAATTGTTGCCGCTATAGCCAAATTTTGAACAAAGATGTAGCAGTCTATGCTTCTTCTTTTAAAGTGAATGTATTGGTTCTAGTAGCATTTTTGTATGTTTTCCCCAAGTTCTTATTAGCGTTTTGCAAGAGAACCAAATAGGATGCCAGCCGCCAGACACACCGCCCCCACAATAAGCGTTTCACTCTTGAAACTACTTTCTACGCTGGCAGATGCGGTTTTGAACTTGCCGTCGTGAAGTTTAACTGGTGGCAATTCTGGAATCTTCTCGAGAAAATGGTCCTTACTTAGAACATCAATGATGCCCTTTACCAAAGATTGCATTTGGACCGATCGCATTTGAACAGCTTCAAGCACTTCGGCATGACTTGCAACTGGTCCCTCATCTCCTTCGATAACGACCTTGTTGGTCACCATGGACAAAACAAGCACTGTAGCAACCAATGTCAGCAGCGTTTCAAAATCACCATATTTTCTTCAATTCATTTCTTCGAATACGTACCTTGCATGTTGCAATGGTGAGCCGTCACAGCCTCTGGAGCTGTGGACATTCCGACCGTGTCTCCTCCGAGCATTCTGAGGAATCGACACTCTGCTTTGCTCTCATACATTGGTCCAGATACAAAGCAGTAGGTACCATGAGACTTGACAAAATCGAGTTTTAGATTTTTTGCTGCCTTCATGGCCATTGCGCGGAGCTCTTCGCTATACGCATTGCTCGTCGGTGGAAATCTCGGCCCCATTTCGTCGTCGTTGGGACCAACCAGGGCGTTCTTTCCGGCCAATTGGGGAATGGCAAAGTGATCACTCACGCAAATGACATCGCCAACCTTATAGTCTGGATTTAGGCCTCCTGCTGCATTGGTGAGAATGACAACCTTGACTTGGAGGCATCTCATGACGTTGATGGGAAGGACGACGGTTTTCATGTCGTGACCCTAAAAAATGACGACGTGAAAGTTAGCAATCCATTGATAGCTACTAGTCTAAGAAACAAAGACTTGCTTCTCTCGCATCAACCAGTACTGTATCAAACGAAATTTCTTACTTCGTAGGAATGGAACCGACCTCGAAAGCAAATGGCCGGAATCCCGCTGAGCTTTCCAAAGACGACTTCTCCCTTATGACCAGGGACGGTACAATGCTCAGGGAACCTGTAGCGAAGGCGGGCATTTAGCTGAGACAACGAGCATTGAATGCATATGAAAATAGCACGAGTATAAAGAAGACGTACCCTGGGATATCGCCGTACTTGACAGTCATAGTCTTGCCCTCCAATGTATTTGACAACTCGGAAAGACCGCTCCCACAGACAATTCCGATTTCAGGGAATTCGATGCCTTCATCGAGCATCTTCTTCCACAGATAGCGGGCCGCCTTGCGGTATGGTATGAATGTCTCATTGAGAATCATGGTATTTAGTATTTGGCTTGATAGTTGCTGTTGTTGAAGTAAGGTGTTGTTGTGATTTGACTGACGTCAAATTATGAGAATCTTACAATCGATCGGCGGTGACTTCACGGAAATGACAAAAAGAACTTCATTCGTGAATTCGAGAATTTGACTCGTATGACCCACGTCACAGCACTTTGACGTCTGTATGTGTCACCCTGGCTTCAACTTTGATGATGCGTCACAACCCCTTCACAACATCCACCAAAAGTTTGAGAACACAACAACGCATTGAATCAATCTCTCACCCTGTTCTGTACAATTACTATCGAAGAATCATGAAACCGTTCTGCCCTTTGGTCCTAATGGCAGTCGGAGCTACGGCATCCACATTTCCAAGGAATAATGTGTCGTTTGGAATCGTCAGAAGGCAGCCTTCCTTATTAGTGAAGCAAGAAAGCAACAATAATTCAAAACCATCCGATAGCGAGAGTACACTTTCCTCGATGCTGTCAATACGAGGAGGAGCTTATGACCCATACATGGGTGATATATATTACAGTGAAGTGAGCCCAGAGAATTCCATGCCCGAACAAGGTTCCCACGATATCACCTACCCAACAAACACCAACAATAACAACAACGACAACACCAACGATGACACTCCTGTGGTTTCGAGTTCCCAAGTGATGTATGAGGGCGGATGCTTTGTCTCAAGCGATTCCGTTGGACCGGTCGAATCAATGTTCAATAGCTTTTTCAAAAGCTTTGGAGATTCGGAAGAAGACGATGATGACGACGACGATGACAATGATGGCCACTCGTCCATGCTGGCAAATGGCTCGTTGACCCAGTCCAGACGGATGCAGTCTGCTGCTGATCGATCGTACCAATCGTATGCCTCGAGTGCAGTATACTTGGAGAGTGAAGTTCAATTCCAATAAGGATCGATCTAGCTTCGCTGAAGTAGTGCTGTGATGACGATCATGTATTGGCACTCACAAGAAACTAGAATAAGAACCTGATGCGTTTGATGAAGAATATAATAGTAAAATATGTTGTGCGTTCGCTGAAGTAGTGCTGTGATGACGATCATGTATTGGCACTCACAAGAAACTAGAATAAGAACCTGATGCGTTTGATGAAGAATATAATAGTAAAATATGTTGTGCGTTTAACCCCCCCCCCCCCAATGGGCGCAGCCTTTGCATTAGCAGGGCATATGACTACTTCTATGCTTTGGTTAGATCGATGAAAATGATGATGAGGGCATCCGATTACTTTTGTGATTCGGATAGACAGATAAAATGAGGCTACATGTACGATACTCCAGTATGATGCAGTTCATGGCGCTACTTCTTGGCACAGCCAGAAAAGAATTAAAAAAAATGCAGATTCTTTCTACAGTAGCTTTATTTCACGAGATGACGTTTGCTAGGTGGCACCACACTTTGTGGCAATTCTGCTGGAATCGGTCGTCCCTTTTGAATGACGGCATCGCACAAGAACATTGCCACTACATACTCCTCATGATCAAACAAACCATCTCGGTCCATATCACTCAAGTTCCAGATTTGTCGCAGTTGGTCCTTGTTCAATCCAGTCTTGACCAAGACATCACGAGCCTTGGCTGTGGGGAGGTATCCACCCTCGGGTCCCAAGGCCTCAAAACTCTGTTTCAGACGGTCCGCCGAATCTTGGAGTGCCCTGTTTTGTTTGAAAAAGAACCAGAGAAGAGGCATGCGTCAGTGAGTAAAGTAAACAAACGACAAATCTTCGGCAACAATATAGCAATACAACATTTTACAAGAGTACAATAATAATAATACGTACCAGTAGTGAGCTGTATCCTCTTGCGCGTATCCAAATGGATTGCTCTCGTAGTTGTCTTGCTTTCCATACTTGTTTCCAGTGTTTGGAACTGGAACCGATGCTGTGCTGGGAGATCCCCCCATTTTCGCCCGAAGCGTCTCCGGACTATCCTTTTCACTGGGCAATTGTTCCATCAATGCTGGAATGTCACTGTTCAAAACGTCGTCCAAAGCATCAATTTGTTTTTGTGAGAGTGTCGAAAACTCGGCAAACTTGGTGTCCCGCAATTTTGCCGAGAAGCCTGCAATATCGGGAAAGTCCCCAGGCGCCAAGTTGAATTTTTTGAGAATGGTTCGAAAGACGTTTGGCAAATCGGCAATGAGCTTTGCCTGTTTCTTCTCCTTGCCCATAAGAGTTGGCATTTCAGCCTTTAGGTGTCCAATAATAAAGGCCAATGTCTTGACCTTGCGAATGCGCTTGACCAATTCATTAATCTTGCGAACAGCAGATTGACGTGGCAAGACGGCAAGGTCCTTCATGAGATCCTTCTCTTCCATTTCAAAGAGTTCCGAATTGTCCATATTCTTGAGTGGCTCTTGCCAAAAGGAGCCAACATAGACCCGAGCGACTTCTGGAGATGTCATTGTCTTTCCGAGTGACCACAAGAGTGCTCCATAGACTCTCATGAGTTGTTGTCGATCAATTTGATCCGCCTTGTTGAGGATGCACCGGATCTTATCTTCATGTCCCTTTAGGACGTCAATGGCCCCCTTGAGTTCATCGGAAATATCCAACTTGTGGGCATCAAACAAGAGGATAATCAAATCCGCACGTTCCGCAAACCACGAAACGACCTTGGTAAAGTCATAACCTCGATTGGTGCGTTGCTTTTCTCCCGACAAAATTCCCGGCGTATCCACTAGGGTTACCGATCGCAAGACACTGCTGGGCATTTGACTTCCTTCAAATCGACTTAGGAACGAAACCCCAAATCGTTCCAGTCCACGAAAGGGAAGATCGGGATGGACGCTGAGAGCATTTCCCGGAATGGTCCGTTCTTCTGGTCCATTGATCAAGACGGTAAATCGATCGGTAGTCGGTTCGGGTCCAATGCGTTGTCCAGGGAAATCACGTCCGAGAAGATAGCGAATAAAGGAAGTCTTTCCGACGGAATATTGACCCACCAAAAGTACTTGTGGTTTGGCTGTTGTTGTTGTTGTTGTTGTTGTTATGAAAGCAAAATTGGATCAAAAGTGAGATAAACATCATTATTCGATCGATTGATTGATTGATTGATTGATTGATTGATTGATTGATGGCAATGACAAAATGACAAAATGACAGAAACAACTCGTGTACATTCTTCCTTCCTTTCTTCATTATTGGAAACAACTACTGGTACATCATTCTTCCCAATCGATCCACTCCCTTCACCCCATTTAAAATCAACATTCCAATTCTAATATGTTCATTATACTTTTCAATTCTTACCATCAAATTCGACATCGGTCAACAAGGGACTCTCATAAAAGTAATCATACTTATATCGCTTTTCCACTGGCAAGACGGATTTGCGATAGATTTGTTTCAGTTTGCCTGTAATGACATTGGTTCGATCGGTCAATTCACTTCCAGCTACTATGCTGTCTCCCATATTTGTTGGACTAGGTATTATTGGTGTCAAACGATGGGCTTTGTGTCGTGCGTGTGTGTGTGGTTTCGTGTTTGGAATACCGGTATATGCGGTAGATTGCAACTTTCTTTACCTACAACGTGTCCATGTGTGTGGATCTTCCTTTCGATTGATTGATTCTTGGCAAGAACCATTCGGAAACTTCGTAGAAAAGATACGCGGTTGAAAGTACCAGGTCCAACGGCTCGCTAAACTGTTGCGCGTGCTCGACCCCTCGAACCTCCAGAATCAATCATAAATATATACAAAAAGATGCATGATGCTACTCGAATGATGGTAGTATCCTTGGTAGTAGTAGAAGGATAGTACTTCTAATAACATGTCAGCCTTCCTCCTTGTGCAGTAAATATCGCATATAATACAATGATTGACCTAAATTAAAAGAGAATCAACTACTTGCCTTGGCTTTCTCTCTTCGTGCTCGTCTCCTAACCTTTCCTTCGTTGTAAAGTATTAATAAGTGCTATTTATAAATAATATCTAATGTAACAGCGGGCCTAACTTAAACTTTGTAAAAGTAGAACATGGGTTGCTTGGTTTATAATATAATTTCCCTTTGCCAAGTCATTTTCATCATTGTCATCAAGACGAAGTAGTGGCACTGGTGGCATCGTCCTCCTTTGTTACAGATTCCAAATCCAAATTACAAAGAGGACATCGTTGATGATTGGAGCACCATGAGGAAATACAGTCGCCATGGTACACGTGACCACAGGGCAAGCAGACCAAATCGTCCTTTTCTTCGTATTCACAAAGACAAATGGAACAATGTGGTTCTTCATCATCTCCCATGGACTTGTGTCCACAGGAATCTGGTAGTCCTTCACTTGCCTTGAAAGGAAATTTCTTCCAATGTTCCTTGGCTTCCTCACTGACTCCTGGTGTATTTTGGAGACCATCTGGATGTCCATAACCACCTTGCATCACTTGTCGCTGAGATTCAATAATGGCCAAGGCCAACTGTGCCTGAAAGGACAAGATTCTCATGTCACCACCACCACTACCTGCACTTGCGGTTCCTCCATTTTCGTTGGATTCCACAATCAAACGATCCAAATGCTCCTCTCGCTCCCGATTGTGACGAATGAATCGAGCCGTCCAACTCGTTCCCACCAAACACAACAGCAACAACCCAAAATCCGAAGTAGCCACCGCTTGAATCCATAGTCGAAAGAGGACAAAGGCAGCAATCAAGACACAACCACTGGTTCGTCTGCGAGCCAACTCACGTTCTTCTTCCAACTCTTCCAAGGTAAATCGGCTGCGGCGCAAGCTTGTGGAAGAGGACCGTCGACCGCGGGACCGTCTGGCATTCACAGTGGAAGCCAAAGTGGGAGAGGATCCTTCATCTTCTGGTGCTGCCATGGTTCGTCTCTGATTCTCAATATCTTCGTCGTCGTCGTCGTCATCTTCTTCGGAGGACGAAGTGGAATCCGCAAGAGCGGGAGGTTGTTGCTGTTGCTGCTCTTCGGCCCCTTCCAGTGGATGTGTCATGACAATCTCGTCTTCTTCCTCCTCCTCCTCCGTGTTGATGCGTTCATGATCCTGACGGGCTCGTTGACGGTCACGCCAAGCTCTTAGATGGTGCATGGCTGCTGTAACTGGCATTGTAATGGACCTGTTTGGAGTCTATTGATTACTACTACTAGAGTGTATTGTAGTTTAGCTGTGTTTGTATGTCTTTTCTTGATTATGTATCGAAAGTGACACACACGAGTGTCTTGTATTTTCTTCGTTTGCTCGTGTCAATCTCAACGAATTCCGTAGCGTCTCTTCGGGATTGGTACTATAATCTACGTGAAAATGCGTAGAAATGGGTTTCTGTAAGAAGACTGCGGCAGAATTTGATTGAAAAAAGCATGACTCTTTGCTTTGACTAGATCGATCAACACGTGACGTCACAGGAGAACCAAACCTGGACCTAACGGTATTCCGCTAAGTGTTGCAACATATTACTTGGATTCATTCCATGAATACCGCATATATTATGCTTCCAAATATTCAAACCTCGTAGCTATTGGATGACCTTTTGTGATTGCCCGAGTACGTGGCTTCATCCTCTGGAAATTCTTCGTCGTTGTCCTCCTCGGACGAGGACTCGGACTCGGACTCCTCCCCAAAGTCGACCTCTTCTTCGTCTTGCCAGTTGGTGCTGTTCTCATCCTCGTGTTCTTCTTCTTGATCACCTACCACACTGTGGGTCAACACATCCTGTAGCTTCTGGGATGTCTCCATTTTAGGAGTGTCCACGTACTTGGGTTCATCTCGGAAGCCTCCTTCTTTGCCATCGCCAGCATCGTCTTGCCAGTAATTGCTAGTACTAGTACTACTGGAGTATTCTCCGTCTTCTTTTTTCAACAGCTTGTTCCGCCGCCACGTCCACACTCCCAGGGCCGTCAAAAAGACCAGGCCTCCAATGGCTCCACCTAATACGGCATCTAGAAAGTTGCCCGCCGTTCCTTGGGCTGCTG